TCCTTCAGTGGCTATTAATAGAATAAAAGTTCCTGAATCTTGGTTTACTCCATGATAAGTGGATTGATTGTACTGATGAATAAGCTCCAGAAACTAAATTAAAAATGTCCTTTCCTATAGTGGATGTCTATTGATTTTGACTGTCTATAATCTCCATTTTCTTAAGGAGTCATCTGATTCTGATGAAGCTGACAGTCACAGAAAATCTCCCCCATCCCATGGCTACAGGGGAGATAGTGTGGGGACCTGGCACAGCAAATCAAGCCAGTCTTGTCAAATCAGGCCAGTTGCCAACCATCAGTAAAACTACCACACTGGGGATTACCAGGTGAGTTTTGGGCCTTGAACAATGCATCATATATCCCACTGTCCTTATCTTGGCCAACAATCAAGATGATTGCTTCAGGGTAAGAATGTGAACCATGCCAGGCTATCAAGATTATTCTCTCTTAAACAACTAAAGCCTATCTGCCATAATAGAGAAAAAACAGGCCAAAAGAAAGAAGCAGAGCTCACCCCTAGACTTATCATACAGAAATATAGATTCTATAGTTCACCCAGATGAAATGACTTTGCAGAGTCAATATATAGAATCAAATCCTGCTCAATTTCTACATATTCACAAAAATTTCTACCTTAAAAATCGTCTTGTTCAATCCCACCATTTTATGTATAATGAAGCTAAATCCCAGAGAATAGAAATTATTTCCATGAAGTATTTCACATATAGTAAAGTTAGAATTAGATTCTAAGGGAATTAGATTCCAGGATATCTGATTGTCAGGAAAATTTTCTTTGATATTCATAAGAACAAGATTAAAGTGATCATTATTTGTTCATTTTAGCTAGTCAAAAATCACCTCTTGAATTTGGTAGTGAAGAAAAATGTTGAACTTTAATTCAGCATTTACAAAACTTTTATGGCTATGGACATACTGTTTCCACCAAACAACTCACCAACATGAAGAGTTAGTATTGGTGAAATATATTTTGGAGGACACTACTTTAATCTATCCTATCAAGTAAATAACAATTTCTGGATTTATATTTCCTAGAATCACATATGTATAGCATATATAATTTTCAGGTACTTTCACTTATATTTTGCTTATTTGATCCCTGGCCTAGAACAGTGCCTATCACATAGTAGAACCAATAAATATTTGTTGGATGAACAAATAAATATAATCCTCACAACAACACATGAGAAGATTAGATTATGTCTGTTTATAGATGAGAATACTAAGGTTCAGAAATGTTAACTGACTTCCCAATGATTACACAGCCAGAAACTGTGGAACTAGGGCTTCACCACAAACCTTCTGGTTTCAAAATCCATGCTAGGCTGATATAAAATTATGTCTTCCAAATAGATTCTTCAAGGATATCTTTACCTGTTTTTAACTCTAAACATTAAAATGCCTAACACCACGGTAAAGTATTGGTAGGAGTCTTAAAGTACAATCAGTTCCTGGCTATCTAAGCAAATCTGTAAATGTTTTTCAAGACTGAGATACTTGAACAACCATCAGATGGGCTTAAATAAGAAAAAAAACAAAACATACAAAATTTAAAAGTCTGGTACATTAAAGGTAATTTACCTTAACTGTCTGGCTATAAGTTAAGAGCAAGACACCACAATAGAAGAAAGTAATGAGAAAAAAATAACTACGTTTCAATCCATCAAAACAGAAGATTAATATACCAAAAATGATATACCACAAACATGCTATCTATGGAATAGATGATACTTTGTTATGGGATGCAAGACATATTTTTTACTTTAATGTATAAAAATGCACCTCACTTTGCCACTAAACTCAGCTGTCAACAGATATTTAGCTTTGGTAGGTTCCCTACCATTAGCAGTTGGCTAGGTAATAAGTACAAAACATTACTGCCCTTGAAAATAACTCAGATTTTCTAAGTGTGAATTATTTATATAAATACATGACCTATTTTACATAAAATAAAATGAAATAATATTAAATGAAATTCTGACCATCTGCATTTAGACTACTATAATTTGCAACAAATATTCTACTTCTTAACACTTGCCACAGAAAAAAAGCCATTTTATTTACATTTCATTTAGATTCTAATTTTGAGAAAACACATTAAATCTCATAATATATGTCTTATTTGTTTAAAAACAATTTTAAGTAGTGAACATTTTCTGCTAAGACACCACAAGTACTACAGAAACTGATTACTACTTCTTCCTACAGTCTGCTCTCAAGGACCTAAGTTTTTAGTATTAAAAAAGAATCAAGAATAAATAGAAAATCATCATTTGGCAACCATCACAGTAATAATTAATTTAGGCAAGAAATATCAGTAGATTTTTTTTTACTTGAGGGTAAAAGTTGATGAGGAACAATATGTTTAGAGTCTCAGAGACCCTCCTTCAAATCAAAATACTTATTGACTATAAAAACAAATCAAAAATACCTATAATTTCAAGGGGAAAATAATGGCTTTAATAAATGGGGAGATCAAGCAGACAGAATCTTAATCAAGGAGTCAGGTATAAGATATTACCAAAATGGGACAAATAAAAAATTAGTTCCACTTGAGGGGATGCAAAAAGAATAGATCAATATTTTTGGGATATTCCTGCTGAAAATATGTAACCTGAATGTAATCATGAAGAAAATCAGACAAAACCACATTGAGGTACACTGTACAAAATAACTGACCTACAATATTTATAATTTATGAGATATAAAAGTCAAGAAAAGGCTCAGCAACTGTTCTAGTGTGGAGGAGACTGAAGAAACATGACAACCAATTCTAATTCACATATAGATTCTTGATAAGGCAAAAAACTTAGTGATATAGGAAAATGTCCTCGATTGTAAAAAAACAAAAAAACCCAAAAAAGACAAGGAAATATTTGGGGGTGACTGGGTACCACATCAACAACTAACTTGCAAATGGCTCAAAGGAAAAAATTACCTTTTGTAATATTCTTACAAAAAATGATAAAAACAGGTAAACTTCAAGCTCCAAAATGTAAACTGATACCACCTTTGATACAAACTTCATTTTCTTCTGGGTTTAAAATAAAAGGTTTCTAAACTAATCATCCCTTACTGCTACTTTTTTGGTTTTCTGGATTCACAGGTTCCAGTAAGGTTGGGAGATCCTAAGATTTATGGGAATTTTCAGAAGCATCATCAAGATTAGGCACGTAGGCACTAATGGAAATATATTAAGAAAAATTGGAACCTACTATCATAAGGGATATCTTCTAGATGCAGTCATGAATATACCTGCAGCAAATTTAAAATAAGTGCTTTTTCAGAAGATGACTACTATCACAAAGCAGTGGACAAGTATATCATAATATGTGGTTTCAGGAATTGTTATTCTTCCAAGAAAACAAGCCTAAAAACCCATACTGCCATAGATAGTTAAATTAGTTTTTAATTTTACTGCTTCTTTAATTTCTACATTGCAGTAATTCAGAATGTACCCATTTTTTAAAAAGTGGGAATTCATATTTTAAAGCAAAAAATGAAATATTAGCAATAGCTACAAAAGTACTCTTCAGTATACTAAAAACTTATAGAATAGTTCCTTTAATATTATTTCCCTAAACTTGTCAGGAAGGATTTTCATGAAGTAGGGGTGAAGAATGGAGATTATTAAAGAAATACAAATTCCAAAACCAAAAGAAGGCCTTCATAATCCATTTTTAATAAACACCCTAATAAAAATTTTTGTAAGTTTTGTAAATACTACTTATGCAGAAAAGAGTTAACACAGGAGGCCTGAGATTGCTATCCCTAGAAAGAATGGCCTGCAAGTTTGGCCCTTGATTGGTAACTGGGAACTTGGCTTTCACCATTCTCTGACTGATAACGGTTATTCACTGGGACTAAACTGTTTGTATCAAGAATATGGTTTATACTGAACACTTGCTTTCCTTCTGGGAGTCTGGAATTTTGGTATATGCTAAAGCAGAGAGTGCCTTACATGACTGACCCCAATAAGAACCCTTGGCACCTAGGCTCAGGTGAGTTTCTCTGTTAAACAATATTTCGCACTTGTGGCAACAACTCATTGCTAGAGGAATTAGGCATGTTCTGTGTAATGCCAGGGGGAGAAGACTACTGGAAGCTTGAGATTAGTTTCCTCCAGACTTCACCCCACATGCCTTTTCCCTTTGCCGATTTTGCTTTTCTTCCTTTGCTGTAATAAATCACAGAAGCAAATATTACTATATGCTGAGTCCTGTAAATCTTCCTAGTGAATCATCAAACCTGGGGTGATCTTGGGCACTCCCAAGACAATACTTAAAAGTATAAAATTACCTTCTACAGAATTCCAAGTACACTGTTACATATAAATTAACAACTTGTAGGGGCCGGCCCGGTGGCGCACTGGATGGTGCGCCGCTTGGGAAGCGCGGCGGCGCTCCCGTCCGAGGGTTCGGATCCCACATACAGACCGGCTCCCGCTCACTGGCTGAGCGAGGCGTGGGAGCAACACTGAGGCTTGCAATCCCGTTGCCGGTCCGGTACGGGGGCAACACTGAGGGTTGCGATCCGTTGCCGGACACGGAAAAAAGAGAAAAGACAAAAAGACAAAAAAAAAAAAAAAAAAAAAAAAAAAACAACTTGCAATTGATAGCCTTAAGATGACAAAAACTTAAATAAAATCCTATATTACTCACAAAATTATTTGCTTTTTGAACTAGTGAAGAAATGATATTCAGAACGTAATGTAACATTCGTTTTCTCAAAGTTCAAATTTAGAATCTCAACTATTAATATGTCTAATTAAAGTTTTTATTATTTACTATTTATTATTATTATTATTATTATTATTATTTTATACATTATTTTTATAAGTGTAAATATTTTTAATTCCCTCAAAATGAAAGAAAACTCATCCTTAGCCTCAAAAACCAAACAAACGAATCCAAGTGCAAACTCAAAACAGTTTATGGTCCACTGCAATTTAGGTAGCATTTAAAATCAATGCATTCTTACCATGTGGAGTAATTGTCTGTACAGGTTTAGCAGGGGACCTCACATTCCATATAGTCAATGTGCCATCTGAATGACTGCAAATAAATTGCTTTCCTTCATGATGCCAAGCAACAGAGTGGATAGCCTATAAAAGAAGGGCAAAGAATTCCATTTTTCAAAGTTATTTAAATCAAGCTATTCGTAAATGGTTTTGTACAGGCATGTAAAGCTCAACGGTAGAGATACATTCTGAGAAATGTGTTAGGCAATTTCATTGTTGTGCGATCACAGAGTGTACTTATACAAACGTAGTTGGTATAGCCTCCTACACACCTAGGCTAAATGGTATAGCCATTACACTCTTATGAGACCACTGTCCTATATGCAGTTGGTTGTTGACTGAAAGGATCTTATGCAGTGTATTACTGTAATTAATCGTCATTTAATTATTTAATTAATTGTCATTTTTTATATTTACCAATGAGAAGTCAATACACTAACTTTACATTCCCATAATAATTTAGTCCTCCTGCAACACAAATGAGATTTTGTTTCATGCTAACACTGTTTTAACTCTTTTTACTTATTTCACTGCTTAAACTGGATTAGGGAAGATATGATAGCGATATATGCACTATAGACAAGTTCAGGAAAACAAAATGTATTCTTAAAATTTTTTAGAATAATACATACTGAAACATAAATTACCAAGATATGACAACCAATATCCCTTTGGAAAACTAGTTACATTGACAGATTAGAACAAATTTTTTAAATTAACTAAAACCTTTAGAAATAAAATGTAGATCTGGAATTAAGAAATAAAAATACCTCGGGCTGAGCATCAAGACAGGCTCCCCAACTCTCACAGTAATTATTGACACAATTTTTAATCTGAGAGACCCTCTTCTGACCAGAAATTTATGTTATACTTTTGAGCCACTTAAAAAAAAAAAAAAAAAAATACCTGGAAAATATTTTATCTGACTACAGTATGTTACCCCTCAGTTGTTTAGCTCTAATATTATTTAATTTTTTGCAACCAAAAAAAATTATTTTTAATTGCTTTCCCAGGTCCCCTTTGAATGACTTCTTTTCAATTCCAGTTGACACATTTTTCATTCTTAATGGTCAATTAATTTTAAAAGCTGCCCTACTGGAATGTCAGAACTGCAGAGTACAGCACAAAAACCATGTGACTGACACTCAAAATTTCTGCGATGTACAAAGTCAACATTTTCATCTCATTCAATATCCATTTATTTGAATTCTTCATATACTTATAAATTCAGGCTAAATATTATATTTTAATATTATAACCAAATGAAAAAATTAAATGACTGTGATAGAATCAGCTATACTTCTAAATGTAATAATTAACACAATATTTTTGATTCAAAGTATCTCTAATAAAATTCTAAGTAAAATCTTAAAATGTTCTGATATTATCATAATATGAGTATATACTATACATTAGTATACAGAGAGAAACAATATTTCATTTTTGCTAAAGAAAACAAAATATCTTTGTTTAAAAGTACCTTTTATTTTTTAAGATAATATTAAATTCCTAGGCATTCCAAAAATAAATCCAGTCTAATTAGAAGATCCAGTGGTTCACAATTATTCTGGATTACAGAAACAAACAGAAAACAACCCCCACAAAAAAAGAACCAAGTACGAACATTTATATGCAAACACATACTATGTTTTGTTTCTATTATGTATGCAATTTTCTAAATACAAATCAAATTTGATGTAAGATGTCATTTTTTTTCTAATTGTTTCTAAGTATGTACAAAATTACCTCACAAAGTTCATGTAAAAATAGAATAAAAAATAATACAAATCTTCCCATGAACTTTTTGAAGTACTCTCATATGTAGTATTTAAGTATATAGGGGTATTTTATATAAATATATAATATACTATACATGTATATTAAGTATATAAGGGGTCTCTAAAAAGTTCATGGAAAATTCCTATTATGAAAAAACTACGTGGATTTCAAAATTTTTCTGCACCAAAATAAACTTTACTAACTTGTTATAACATGGCTGAACAGGATCTACTATGAAGCACTAAGAAGGATAAGACATCAGTTTGTATATAGCTTCTATCAGAGCAACAACAATTCTGCTAAAATGGAAGCAAGAACAAGCATCAAATTTATCGTGAAGCTTGGGTAGAAGAATGGTTAAATCACTGATGATTTACAAAAAGTCTACGGGGACAACGCCCCAAGAAATCAACAGTTTGCAAATGGATAACTCATTTTAAGAAGGGAAGAGACAATGTAGAAGGTGAAGCCTGAAAACGCAGACCATTCACCTCAATTTCCAAAGAAAAATTAATCATTTGTGCCCTAATGGAAGAGGACTGATGATTAATACCAGAAACAACAGCCAATATCATACGTCTCTATTGGCTCAGGTTATACAATTCTGACTGAAAAATAAAGTTCACATTTTTTATTTTTATCTTTTAATTCCATTCTTCCACAATTTTTTAAAATCCCCTCACATGTGTACAATATCTACCACATATAAATTATGTATTTATAAAATATGCAATTTATACTTTTCCTCTAGTCTTCTTGAGAAAATAAAGGAGAAATTTATATAACAAAGTGGGAAGAGCAAATCTCACTAACCAAATCTGCCTCATGCTCAGAATCAGAAGCAAGGTGAGTTAGAAGCAAACCTGAATAATTCATGGTACAAGATATGAGTCTTCTGGGCTCATCCATATTGCCACAAATGACAAGATTTCATTCTTTTTCATGACCAAATAGTATTCTATAGTGTATATATACCACATTTTCTTTATCCATTCATCTAACAGTCTTGAGATACAAATGTACTCACAGAGCTAGCAAAGGATAAACTAGTTTTTTCTTTACATTTTATTGCCAATATTTCTATCTATTGCTGCTCAATCTACTAAATAAAATGAACATGAAACCAAAATACAAAAGCCACTGATAAATAAGCCTAGACATACAATAAAGAATAACCATTAAAATAAAGTAGTTCATAAGAATTTACTGTCTTAAAATAATACTGCATTTTACTTAAAATAATACTGTAAAATAATACTGAAGTACAATAAAACCGTATTTCATTTCTGTCACCACTGATTACTGGTTATAGCCTTAAAAACTGGAATGTACACTAACAAGATAAAATTTTATGTAGATGAAATAGCCTATCTAAAAAATACATATAAAATATTTAAAAAACTCTCCAAGTATGCTCAAGTCTATCATTTAGACATAACCAGGAGAGAGCAGAGTTTGTCAGTTACAGAAGTACTAACCATGGTTACAAAAGCAACAAAAGCTCAAGGGCACAAAGATGAATTTCTGTTCCCATTAATCCCACCCATGCAAATGACTCCCAAGAGACCAAATGACAATTAAAGCTGTATCAACCAGAACTTTAAATATATGAGAGGTCTTGTGAGTTGATATCATAAGGCCATTTAATACATTTGTGCCACTTAATAAAAATGAATTTGACCAGAGTAATATACCATTGAATATACTGGGGGGTAGGAGGATGATGAGGGTAGTACTTAGTTAAAATCCTAAGTTTTCAGCCCTCACTAGAGAGGAAGAATTATACCTATAAAATTTTTTGAATGTATAAAATTATACACCTGGAAAAAACTGCATTGGGAATCAAATAAAATAAATTTTAATAAGAACCAAGAGCAATGGTAAAATAGCATGAATTCATGAAAATAAAGCCAGAACTTTTCACTCAGTTTACTTTAGAACGAGTCAAATTAGAAGCTAGAAATATTACATCTACCATACTGTTATTTAAAATACAATATTTAGTCATTATGTATATTAATATTTGTTAATAGTTTTATGTATCTCTATTCATCAATAATATTGGTCTGTGTTTTCTTTTCTCATAATTTTCTATTTTGGGTAAGAGTTTGGGTACAACAGGTATTATCTGGTAAAATTTACCAGTGAGCATTCTAAGCCTGGAGTTTTCTTAGTGGGAAACATTTTCATTGCAAATCCAATTTCTTTAGTACTTAGAGAATTACTCAGGTTAAATATTTCATCTAGATTAAGCTTTGGCACTTTCAAGAAATTTAGCATCTTTCAAAGAAATAGTCCATTTCATCTAGGTTGTTGAATTTATCGGCAAAAGTTGGACATATATCGTTAGTTCCTCAGTATCTCTGCAGAAATTGGTGTACTATCCTCTTTTTCATGCCTAATATGGGTGATTTGTGTCTTAGTTTTCTTTCTCATCACTCTGGCTATATGTTTATCAATTTTATTGATTTTCACAAAAATCCAACTTTTAATTTTAGCAATTTTCTCTACTTTTTTCTGTTATCTATTACATTGATTTCTGCTCTTCATTATTTTCAGTTCTTCAGCTTAGTCTGGATTAAATTTGCTCTTTTTCTTCTAACTTCTTGTGGTGGAAGTTGAGGCCACCAATTCAACACCATTTTTGTTTTCTAATATAAGCATCTAATGCTATAAAGGATACGTTAGTGACATCCCATAGATCTCAATGTCATATTTTAATTTTTTTTCATTTCACAATACATTCTAATTTCCCTTGTTTTCTGATTTAACCCATGGATTATTTAGAAATATGTTGCCTCACTTTCAACTATCTGCAGATATTCCAGATTTTCCATTTATCTTTTAATTCTACTACAGTAAAAGAACATATTTTACATGGTTTAATCATTTAAAATTTATTGACATTGATTATATGGAAGTAAATACGGTTTGTCTTGGTGAATGTGCCATTTTGCTTAAAAGGAATGTGTATGCTGTTGTTGGGTGAAGCACTCTGATATCTACTTTGCTAATAATATAACCATTACAGCTTTCTTTTGATTAGTGCTAACATTACTTTTTACATGAATCTTTTTCCTAACACATCTCTGCCTTTAAAAGTGGGTTTCTGGGCTGGCCCGGTGGCGCACTGGAGAGTGCGCTGCTTGGGAGTGCGGTGGCACTCCCGCCGAGGGTTCAGATCCCATGTGGAGACCGGTTCCCGCTCACTGGCTGAGCGCGGTGCAGGCGCGACACCGAGGGTTGCAATCTCGTTGCTGGTCCCTGGTGTGGGCACGACACCGAGGGTTGCGATCCCGTTACCG